CCCCCCCCCCCCCTAGGAATGTCATAAACGGATTTTGGTAATATTCATGTCAAACCCAGACACGGGGTGTTATCAAATAACTTTAATATATGACTGATCAATTGGCGCCGCCGGCAATAAAGTTTTTTAATCATTCTTAAAAATCAAATTTAAAACAAATTGCGCCACAAATTTGTCCAGGGGGACGTCCCCTTTCACTTTTCAGTCGCCTCTGAGTTAAACTAATTTTATACGGAGAGACTATAGTTGCTCTATGTTCGAAAGCTTTCTGAATTGTGTTTTGGGGAACTTGTTGTCAGGCTATGAGTATTCTTATTCAAGGTATGTATACAGGCAGGGAAGAGAGGGTTTGTTTACATTTTACTGTGGTGTAATCCTCAATCTGTTTCAAACTGGGTTTAAAAGGACTTTAAGAGTAATTTTAAGATAGTCTTTAAGCAAAACTGGCACCATGCCAAGCTTTGTCTGAATACGATTGAATTTGTTTTAGTTTATTTCAACTGTTCATTTTCATTTGCGGTTACTCTGCGAAAGGTACTTGAACATTTATTGCTTTTAAGAACAAGTGTTGTCCAGATAAAGGTTTCAAGGGCACCGCCATCGTTGCATAAATGGTCACTTGAAATTGTGCTTACAGTTCCTTTCAGGTAAACAAACAACATATACTTAACCCGTTTCCTGCCTTTCTACTTTGTTTACATTCTTTCTTTTTGTTTTAATAAAGCTATTTCCAATTCCAAATAGTAGTAAGACAGGGTGTCTCACATCATATTGGATTGTTTATGGTTCTAAATTACGATATTTGAGACTTTTCGGAAAATTTAAAAAGAAAGAATCATTTTGAAGAATTGTGCAAGGCCAATATAAAAATTTGCTTGCAGAAAATTTCAGGTTTTTTAGTATTGTGTATATTGCGTATTTTAGAGTTTAAGCAAGGAAATAATCCAATATGATATGGAATGCTCTGTATATCACCATGAAATGTGTACATTAACTGCACAGTGTTCACACTACCTTTCTCCCCTACCTGCCTTATATAAACCTTGGTATTCTTTATATATATATGACGTAGTATATTTACACACTCATTTACTCACATAGCTATGACAACAGACTAAACTAATTATTACAATATAATACACATGCTTGGAGGCCAGACATTTTACAACCATAGAGTAGTCTGTACTCTATGGATACAACATAGTGTAGTCTGCACTCTGTGAATTCAACATAGAGTAGTCTGTACTCTGTGGATACAACCATAGAGTATTCTGTACTCTGTGGATACAACCATAGACTAGTCTGTACTCTGCAGATACAACCATAGAGTAGTCTGTACTCTGTGGATACAACCATTGAGTAGTCTGTACTCTGTGGATACAACCATAGAGTAGTCTGTACTCTGTGGATACAACCATAGAGTAGTCTGTACTCTGTGGATACAACCATAGAGTAGTCTGTACTCTGTGGATACAATCATAGAGTATTCTGTACTCTGTGGATACAACAACGATAATATATATATAGATATGCAGACAGGTATAAATTTAGAGGTCTTGAGATAATGAGCACAAAGCACCATCTCTGTCGTACGCATGGCATTTTATCCTCTGGATTGTTGCTAATTTATCACTTTGTTTATGCGTGATAACACTAAATGCGTACTATAGTATCAACAATGTATACTGCATATTGTACTTAATGAAACAAATTAATCAATGCAAATAAAACTGAGGTAGGAATTTGACTAGACAGAGTTTAAATGTGCAAGTTGTACTGAATGGCATACGTAAATTAACGCAATTTAAATAAAAATTATGACTATAAAAGTACATCGAGTCTAGGACAAATTACAACTGATCTGATCATAACATAAACAAAACGCGTACTGTATGTTTGTGTTACCTTGAAATTTAATTTTATTGGTCAAACAGGTCCAGATAGCAACACTTGAACTATACAGGATGCAATACGCGTACTGTATGTTTATATAACACAAATGCGTATTTCCTACAGATAGCAGAAAGGGGAGAAAGGCATATAGAAAGTAATCAATTTGCTATAGATGTCTCTTTGTGCACATTTTTTCAGAGGTTCAAAAATTAGTTGTCTGCTACAGGCAATTTAGGAAGGAGGTTTCTACCTGCCTGCATATCTATATATATATTATCGTTGGGATACAAGCATAGAGTATAGTCTGTACTCTGTGGATACAGAGTATATGGTAGCCTGTACTCTGTAGATACAACATAGAGTAGTCTGTACTATGTGGATACAGGTACAGCATATCATTAAAGGGAAAGTTAACAAAAAAAGGTTTTATATATTTGTTGGTGTTTGGATTTGTAATTAGGTTTAGAAATAATTGTTTAAAACATTATTTCGTCTGCATTAACACCTGCCTCTTTCCCTGTAAAATATAAGTAGCAGATATATTCTTTTTATACAGGGTGACCCATTAAACATGCCGATTTTAAGACAATCCAAGTATGATATTGAAAATGCATTTCTATAGTTAAAAACATTAATAATACTCTGAAAGAGAACAGACATCAATCTTATAAGTATTCTTAACCAACAGTTTTGATCATAGACGTCTAACTGAAGTTTTTTATTACTAGGTTTCGGGGCGCTTCATAACATTTAACTACATTCTACTTTACAGCTTCACCCTACAAATGTACAGAAGATACATGCACCCTCAATCTATCTTAGTAGCCCTATACTCACATTACTACTGGACAAACTTAATAAACATTATTAGAATTGTTACTTATTCGTAAACAAACGATTTATTAGTACCAAGCTTGTTAAAAAACGCTTAAAATATGCTTGATTCGTTACCATATGTAAACAACGTAAAATAACGACACCCATATAAGTTAGATATAGAATTTTAAATTTTAAACTTAACGTATTTCAAAGAAATGTTGTAAGCCATTCCTATTCATATATTTTTGTTAGTTTATAATTGATCTTGTTAAAAACAATTCTAATCAATATTGTAACTTTTTTATGTTGATTTCTGTCATTAATTTAGGTAAATCCGTGAAATTAATTCTAGTAAATCCGGGAAATATTTTCAAACTAATTCACCAAACAGTTTGAAACACGTAAAAATGAGCATCCATGACCTTCTCCAGATTCAGTCAAAGATCCCAGATGTGAAGTCGACCTACACCATCGCGTATGGGAGAGAGGTGGAGATTGATACCAAAGATTGGGAGGGGAGGTATATAGTGGCAGTTTTCCTCACTGGGTCAGAGCATCCCATCTCGCGTGACACAGTTCGTGATTTCTCCAAGGCGATGCCGGAGTTCGACCAGCTAAATTGTCGAGTAGTAGCCGTTGCTCCGGACACCACGGTCGCCCTTTTCAAATGGCTGGAAAAGAGTGAGGAGTTTAGAGAGCTGGATCAATGTATTCCGATAGTTTCTGACAGAAACATGGCAATTTCGGGGTAACTATGTAGATTTTAATCTCAATATTAAACCGTTAAACCATAATTTTGATAAGTCTTTGAATTCAATGCTATGAAATGTTAATGTTAAGTTCTTTATTTATAAAATTCCATTTGATTCAGTCTAGTGACCACATGCGTTGACCAATTAAGTAAAGGAGACTGATTAAGGCACATTATTATTATTATTATTCAATTATTCTAATTCATAGTTTTTTTTACTTAAAAATAGAAACTTTAAATCAGGAAGATTTTTCGGTCGCCTTTGTTTTTTCACTATATTCCTGCAAATACTCGTGTATCCTGTATTCAAGAATACCAGGTTTTTATTCTCTCTGGGACTTAACAAATCCTCCAGTTTATTTCTTCTCTAGCATCGGTTTCGAAATAATTTTTTGTCATTTTTAGACCGTTTGGAGTTTTGCAGCGAGGCAACAGGAAGGGTCACCCAGCCAACAGTGTCTTTATCATAGACCACCTAGCCAAGGTGAGGTTCACCTGCGTCCTGGAGCCGACTGTACCTCAATGCCCGGAGCATATCCTCCGTATGGTGAAGGCGTACAAGCTGACAGACGAGGGGAACTTCTTGATGATGTCCGGGGAGGATATGGAGAAGTGCAAGATCAAGAACGACGCCGAGTCCATCAAGGACTTCTACAAGAATACTTACTCAACCAGAGTTAAAATCCCAAAAGTGAATCTTCCAGGAGGGAATCTTATTCGTTCTCTTTCTAAGAAGATAATTGACGAGAGTAAATCTTCCAAATCATCTAAAGATGTGGCTCCAGCTTCTGTTCTTTCTTCTCAAACCCCTCCTAGTCTACCTTTGGAGGGAAACTGAACTGTTCATATCGATGCTTTAGTTTATCAACAGAAATTGAAATAAATCTTTAAATAAATACTTATTTCTAAAGTTAAAAACAGGTACAATACCCTGAAAGATTACAGACCTCGATTTTTAAAAATATTCTTAACCGAGAGTTTTTGATCATAGAAGTCAAACTGAAGTTTATTAAAGCTAGGCTATCGGGGTGCTTTGTGTCCATCTTCTATCTAAACTTTTAATTGTTGCTTAATCTTTCAGCCTTTTCTCTTCGATAAAACAAGAATAAAAAGTTTTGCGGATATATATAGATTATACTTGGTCGTCTTTCGGCTCGTGTTTAGTGAGATACACTGTAATTTTCCTACATTTACCCTCTATCCCAAGTTCATAATGCAAGGAGAGTTAATTGGAGTTGCTTATACTCTGCGTAAATATTGAAACCAGTTCTCTCTGGGCGGAATTTGTAACAAGAATAGATGTGTTCGTTTAGTATCCGAGAAGGTTAAAAGCATTAAATTTTAATAATTTTGAAAATACACATAATAGTTTCTAAAGACCAGAATATTTCATTAATTTTTTATGTGAAAGATGGATTCCATGTCAGGCTTCGACATTCGTCTTGTGTTAACATTACCGCCCAGAGACAGTACACTGCAGTACAAAAGATGCGTACAACATTTACAACTTTCGCTAATTTTTAATTCATTTGTATGCTTATACCGAATCATGACTAAAAAAGGTGTTAATAAACGGTTAACTAACGTATTGAAAAGTTTAGGGGTGTCCTTGGCACATCGATTGGGGAAAAACCAAGTACCACCCGAGAGGTAACAAAATTTAAATTGGCAAAAAAAATCCTTTAAGGTACAGGGCGTCCCAAAGAACATGGGAATTCAGTAACGAATTCGATATCGTCTTTGTTATGAATTAGCATTGTAAAACCATAATATTATTATGTCTGCTACAGTTTATTTGTGAAAACGGTAAAAGACTGTAAATATGTGTCTATATTGTCTCCGCAAGAAGAACATAGCAGAGGAAACTCTTACATATTACAGCTTTCTCAGTATAAAAAATCACAAAATTATCTAAAAAGACGATATCGAATTCGTCACTGAATTCCCATGTTTTTTGGGACACCTTGCATTTGAAAAAGATTTTTAAAAAGACGACATTTCATGATTTCCACCGATATCAGTATATTAATAGACAACAAATAATGGTTTAGTTTCGGATTAAAAGTTACTTTTAAAGAAAAATACATTTACAGGATTCAATATAAATCTTAGCCAAATATTTAAAAACTTTAACAAAATAATTTCCAATATTTCAAGTGGCATCACCACGTTGTCAAGGATTCTTAAAAACAAATCTATTTTTAAAAATGTATTTGAACACATTTTTGCGTTTAAAAATCATTTTTGGACAAATTTGTTCACGTATACAGATGATAGATGTTAATTATTTGACATCCCGTAGCAAAATGCAGGATATCAGAGATATGATATATATAATTGCAATTTGCAAAAAAAAACTTAACGACAATCAGAACAATTTTTCCTTCCCTCTGTTTGCACTTGCAAAAAGTTTAAACAAATATAAAGCTTTAAAATTCCTTGCCTTTTTGTATATAGTTAAAAAGAATGCAAATATTTGGGAATATATATATATATATATATATGTATATATATTCCCAAATCGAGAACAGTCCTCACTAAAGATCATGGTCCATGTCAATAGGTCCATGAAACATTGTGTATGTTTTTTTATTGAATGATAAATTGATAATATTTTTATATTTCGCTTGATTTTTTGTATCCAATTTAACAGACGTGTGACCCCAAGAAAAGTTTACTATCGGTCAAAATCTAAAAAGGTTGCCTCAAAATGATTTAGTTTTTCGAAAAGAAATTAGAAATCCGCCAATAAAAATACAAAGAAAGAAGGGAGCGAAGCGCTCTGGAAACTTTGTTTTAAAATAGAATGGAAGAAAATGAAACTTTAGAAAGGGTAGAAAATGAATGAAGAGCTCCAGTAACAAATAAAGTTTACTATAAGTCCCCTTTAGTGCGTGACCATGGGCTAGATAGATAGATAGATAGATGAATATTGATAGATAGATAGATAAAAATAGATAGATAGATAGAATAGTTTGCAAGTTTTCTATTAGTTTGGTTGTAAGTATCCTCTTGAAAGGATTAAATAATGGATAAAATATTATTTATAAATCTACTTTTACTTTGTGGAGATATTGAAGAAAATCCAGGTAAAACACAGAAATATGAAATTTTAAGATTTAATAAACATGAAGAACTCGGTGTTGCCTGTTCCTATCAGACTTTGTGTAAGTTTGCGTACCCTTGGTTAGATCTAAGAATATGTATATATTTTAGGATAATAAGGGGGAGGAAATGTACATTTTGTATTTTTATAAACTGTTAAGTGTTACAGTTTGGCTGGTATATAGGATACAGTCATACACACAACCCTACATACATACAATTACAATCAAGGAATGTAATGCAAGGAAAGTTATTTCAGAAGTGTACACATCTTTTGTACTGCAGTGTACTGTCTCTGGGCGGTAATGTAAACACAAGACGGATGTCAAAGCCTGACATGGGATCTATCTTTCACATAAAAAAAATCAATGAAATATTCTGAGCTGAAAACTTTAGAATGGGATATACTTAATCCCGATCGGTAAATTAATCTGGAGATTAAAAATGAGAGGAGAACAAGCATTATTTAATCTGGAGATTAAGAAAAAGAGTGGATCAAGCATTAATCCCGATATCCACCATTCAAAAGTTCCCAGCTCTGGTCATAGGAAACTATTATGTGAATTATCAAAATTATCAAAATAAAATGCTTTTAACCTCCTCGGATACTAAACGAACACTGATTGATATTTAACATTAGATTTAAAACATTAGAAATCCACAAGACATTTGTGATAAATACTCAAATCACTGGTACACCTTTTTTGACCTCGAGTAGCTCCTTTAGTTTAGATTTTACGCACAAATGTGAGAAAAGCTAATCCGGTTACGTATTAGAAATTCAAAACATTTTTGTTCTACAGAATAAATGTTTTTTTAAGCGTAGTTATTATTGAAAACATATAATTGATTTCATTCTAACTTAGTTAAACGTGAAATCATTCATACAGAAGATCACATCACGCATGTTTCGTATTGTTTAAAAATGTTACACGAAAAGATCCTAGTGTTTTCCATGACTTAAAACAGCATTTCTTTAACTATAGACGTGTTGAACACATTTAACTTATAAATTAAAATGTAGTTTTTTTTTATGTTTTTATTTTGTTCGTTTTGACCATTTCTATTAATGCAGGTCCATTTCCGTGGGAGAAGAAAGAGGACCCTCTTGAGGACGTTTTAAACACTTTAGAGGACCATACGGAGGACATTGCAGATCTAAAGGACCTCGTAGATAAGCAAAAAGACTTGATTGCTGACCTAGAAAAAAGACTTGAACAACTAGAGACTAAAACTGAAGAACAAGCCAGGTTTCTATATCTATATCCCTGTATATAAAGTTGTAATCTCTGTCTGTCTGTTTGTTTGTATGTCCAGTACACTGGCCGAATATATATATAAAGTTTAGTGGAAAGTGACCGTTGAGAGGGTTTATATTTATAGGGAAAAAACAAAATCATAATTTACGACCAAGTGCGGGTAAACGATGGTAGTAACACTCGGTTTTTAAGCAAGTTGGTTTATAAAGCGGTACGTTTAGTTAAAAACGTTTTCTAGAGAGACCATTTCGTATATAACTGAATGAATTAGATCAATTAAAAAATTTAACAATTTAAAACAGTTTAAATTTTAAAATTTATAAAAGAGTTTTAAAGTTATTATTGTAGTTTGATTGACAATCAGAAGAAAGACCTGGATGCAGTTCAAATATATAATAAAGAACGAAAAGAGGATTTAGAGAACACATTTAAACAGTTTTCTCAGAGAGAACTAGATCAAGAGAAGAATATACTTAACCTCAAGGTTGGATTTAATTCGGGATATTCGGGCAATTTTTTTAAATGTAAAAAGTCATTTAAAAATTGTCTTTTTGACACTGGGTATGATATTTTTTTGCCTGAGTACCATCAATCATCAGAAACCTCTTTATATTGCAGAATCCTTGATCTTTCCTGACCCCTTAATTCAACTGAGACCTGCAATCTTGCGTCTCCGATAAATAAATTTTCTAATCTTTTTTGTAAACCATAAACCTTTGATATTTCAAACTTAGACAATTTGATCAAACAGAATACATCGTTTGAAATCTTAAACATCGGGTTGCAAAGATACAGGGATGAAAAAAATCAGAGTTTGTGACAAAAAGATAGATTTTTTTTTTCTTTGTTCTAGGATATTTTAAACAGTATTGTGACGGATATTGGACAGCTGAGAATTGGATTAGAATCTGCAAAGGTTGGTTTTCCAGATTATTATCATCAAATAATAATTACCTTAAGAAACGTAAATTTTTGAAACTGAAGAAATATAAAAAACTATGCATTCAGTGCGCTTCGCGCCCATCTTCGATTTTAGCTTTTAATTGTTGCGCTTTTATAGACTTTCGTGGATTTTGAAAAATCTAAATAATGTAAAAATTTTTTTAATTCTGACCATTAATAAATCTTCCATGGGATCATGTAAGGTCCCACAAAAAATTGGGCTATACCGGTTCAACCGCTTTGACGTTTATCGGTTACACACAACAAACAAACACCCAGACCAGCATTAAGTATATATCTAGATGTTAACGTAATGTATGTAATGTAAGAAGTAACAATGAAGGATATCGTTTGTCTGTCTTGAAAATAGATGAATTTCTGTAACTTCCTGCAATTTGATTCATGCTGCATAATTCCGCAAATCATTGTCATTGAGAGAGCCGGCTTTAAAGTTATGAGTTTTCAGATTTAAAAAAATTATAAATTTAATTTGATTCTTTGTCAAAGGTTTAAAGAGTTCGGTTATGAATCAAACAAACACCTGTTCAGATGAAGGGTCTCTTAACATCACGTGAACAGTCCCTTTCAGTTTAATAATTTACCGTCATTTTATAGATTAAAAGCGAAGAAGACAATTCAGAAATAGTGATAAGGTCAGTTATAGTCATCAATTTTTACTTTTCTTAATTTTATACCAGTTTTTATCGCTATTTGAGCATATTCCAGAATATTTTTTTAATCATTACAGATTAAGACACATTATTTAATTATAGTCATAACTATTAAACGTGGTGTTAATTATTTTTTATTTGTGAGTTGTAACCAGCATAAAAGATATACAGGGTGTCATAACAAACAGCACGTTGTCTTGAATTTTTAATAACAATTCAGTGATAAAGTTGCATCACTTTATTTTCCTAAATTATTTTTACCTTCCAGAAAAATTTAAAGAAAAAAGACAGACAACATTCTGAAATAAGTAATTTTTTTTAATATAACAAATAAATTCAAAATTAAGTGTTTGACGAGGAAATATATAAAAATCCTCCCAAAAAAAGATTCAGGGAATATTTCCGAAAAAAATTTTAAAAAACGAAATGGAAAAAAGTTACAAATTCATTGTTTACATTTCTTAAATAATTGGTGGTGGATTGTTAACAATTTTCAGCGATAAACTAAAGAAACAATATTCACAAATGAATAACGCAATTATCTAGTTATTTAGAAATTGTCCTGTTTTCTGGGACACCCTGCATAAGTGTTTATAAATATAAATTATTAGGCTAGGAAGTATAAGAAGAGGGGTGGAAAAGTTAAAAGAAAAGTCTTGGGAGCTGGATATTTATGAATGTAAATTATTAGACTAGGAAGTATAAGAAGAGGGGTGGAAAAGTTAAAAGAAAAGTCTTGGGAGCTGAATATTTATGAATGTAAATTATTAGACTAGGAAGTATAAGAAGAGAGGTGGAAGAGGTAAAAGAAAATATTTATGAATGTAAATTATTAGACTAGGAAGTATAAGAAGAGAGGTGGAAGAGGTAAAAGAAAAGACCTGGGAGCTGGATATTTATGAATGTAAATATTAGACTAGGAAGTATAAGAAGAGGGGTGGAAGAGTTAAAAGAAAAGACCTGGGAGCTGGATATTTATGAATGTAAATATTAGACTAGGAAGTATAAGAAGAGAGGTGGAAGAGCTAAAAGAAAAGACCTGGGAATTGGACACCAATACTAGAAATAATCTGGGTAAAAAATACATTCTTAAAGGGACTGTAAGCGTAATTGCAAATTACTCTTCATGAAAAGCTGGCAGTGCCCGATTCACATTGGTTACTTTGCAACCTTTAATGTGGAAGTTATTTACATTTTCTAGGTTTAACAGTGTTTAATTTTGATAGTTCCTATTATTCCTATATATTTTCCTGCAGTAGAAATGCGCAAGTTACTTTTGTAGAGAAACCACAATTAAAAATATTCAGTTTTTAAATAATAATCGATTTCTAATTAACACTTGATCAGGAAAAGCTTCTAACGGTACGGTGGTTGTCAATCGGGTATTGCCATGTCTTTGTATGGAGTGTCATTTAAAAATTACGCGTACAGTCCCTTTAAACTCAAATATATATCAAAAATAAAAGTCAATTTAATGAAATATTTATATTGTTGCCAAGGTATAAGAACAGCAAATAAATTTAGTTTCATATTAAAATATCAAAGCTTGTTTTTTCTTAATATATTACTCCGTTTTCGTTCTGAAAGTCAATAAAATTTCTTAGTTAAAATAAAAAAAAATATCTTGGGTTCCCTCGACCAATTTTGCCTGTAATCATCCATCATTATACCTGGAGGCTTTATAGACCAAAAAGATCTTGGAAACCCAAAAAGGTGGCAAAGACAGCAGGGCATATTTTGTAAAAGTTTGTTTATTAAAGGGAGTGACCGGCAATGTATAGTTTAGAACTGAGAATTTAATATTGTGGAGAAATGTTGTAGGATTCATTTGAGACATATAAAACGTTTTAATGATGTATAATTACTGAGCGCAAAGTCGACTTTCAAAATTATCCATTTGGTTGATTACGTTTCGAAATTGAATCGATTTTGAACGTTCACTTTTCACTCAAATTCAGTAATTATACATCATTAAAACGTTTTTTATGTCTGAAATGAATCCTAAAAAATTTCTCCATTATACCACATTCTCAGTTCAACTACCATTCATTGCCGGTCACTCCCTTTAAATAAAATTGTTATATTTAGTGTTCTATGGTATCCGAGAGGATGCGGGTGGTGGTAATCTAGAATTCTGTGTTAAGGAGGTATAAACTAAAACATCATTTGGAAAATTTTTTAAAAGAGAATTCTAGAAATTATCTTGATTCCATATCTTAAAACAAAATGAATTCAAGCAAACTATTAAATTTCTCTTGTTTATTTAAAAAGGAACTGAATACTAGCTGCAAACATGATTTTTCTTACCGTTATATCTTTGTAACCAAATGGTATGCACCTTAAATATTTAAAACTTTGGCAATTTGGTCAAACTGCAGAATTAAAATTATCTGAGACATCAGGGACATCAGTACCAGCGATTTAAAAAATTCGGCAAAATACGGCTCGGGTCTATGCTGTTGTTGGGCCTTATTTACGACAAGAGCTTTAGGATTCAAGCTGCATCTTATATTCCACAAAGTTGAGTTCAAAAAACCGGTTAAATATTCTATTTGGCGGATTTTCATGGTAGGAATTGGCGCATTCCGGTTTTTGATGAGAACAAGACTCAACATTGAGTTTTATTCTCCACTATAATTAACCGAGGTCGGTTTTATTTTCACTAGGCGCCCTAACTCCTTAATCTAGCCAAAGATCGTGTAGCTGTCAATCATGTGACACAAGCTATCGTCAAAGTTGGGTCGAAGATCGGGTCTTAAAGTTGGGTTTAAGAAATTACGGCTCGAGCCGAAGTTTTTAAATCGCCGGCTCAGGTCTCAAAAATTGTTTAGAAAATTAAAATTCAGTTTCTATGAATCTTAAACCTTGATTTCAAGTCTACTGCAAAGGCGCGTAAACGAGCAAAATCATGTTTATTTTTTATTAATGCATAATGTTTTGCAATCAAAAACGTGTTATTTACAAAAATTTCATTTCTTTATAAAAAGCTGTTTTATTGGTTTACAAAATTTTTGTTGAATCCCGCTAATCTAAAAACTTCTATATGCAGGTCCATGTTAAACCAGCTCTTTAAAAAAGAATGTAATTTATTCCCCAAAAAAGTCTTATTTTCTGAGTATAAATTTTACATTTAATTTTACTGGTGGCTTTATTTATATTTTATCTTAATTAACTTAGTTCTTATAGTGTCAAAAAAATAATAAATGTTACTTAAATCATACAGAATAAATAAATACTAATTGTTACGTAAATCATACAGCATTAAAGAAATGATAATGTTACTTATATCATACAGCATTAAAGAAATTATAATGTTACTTAAATCATACAGCATAAAAGAAATACTTATTGTTACTTAAATCATACAGCATAAAAGAAATAGTAAATGTTACTTAAATCATACAGCATTAAAAAAATACTAAATATTACGTAAATCATATAGCATTAAAGAAGTGATAATGTTACTTATATCATACAGTATTAAAGAAATACTAATTGTTACTTAAATCTTACAGCATTAAAGAAATACTAATGTTACGTAACTCATACAGCATTAAAGAAATTCAAATGTTACTTAAATCATACAGAATAAAATAATATAAATTGTTACTTAAATCATGCAGAATAAAGAAATACAAAACGTTTTTTTAATCATATGGAATAAAATGATACTAATTGTTACTTAAATCATACAGAATAAAAAATACTAAATTTTACTAAAATTATACAGAATATAATAATACTAATTGTTAATTAAATCATACAGAATAAAATAATACTAAACGTTTTTTTAATTATATGGAATAAAAGAATACTAAATGTTACTTATATCATACAGCATTAAAGAAATACTGAATTTTACTTCAATCATAAAAGGCATGTTCAATAAGTTTTGCAAATTTTGTTTGAGGGTACTTCTATACGTCTCAGTCATGTAACTATTTTTTTCAAAGCTCACTGTAATCATCCCGGTTGTCTTCTTCCAACGTACTTTATTCATCAAACTTTTTATTTCTATGTTTTCCACCTTTTCCTGGAGGTTGTTTAGTTCCGTTGTCACAGCACGGGATACTTTCCAAAAATAAAGCAGACACCTTTGACATGATCCAAATATGGAGAATAATATGGACAAGTGGACTAAAAGGGATAAAATCCACCAAAACCCCAAAGACAATCAAGACAATTGAAAGTTTCTCATCAAATTTAAATCATTACATTAAATTACAACTTTAAAAACCCCCAAGGCTTATCCTCCTTTGACTGTTTAAGGTTACCTAACCTCTAGAACACGCGCAAGTGGATAAAGTTTAAGTCAGTAGATAAAATATTCAGGCTGTGACAAGCATCGTAACCAGGATCCGGGTGAAAGCTATAATTGCGTCCAAAATATTATCTGATCGACATCAGCTGGTCAGAAAATTGAACCGGTATAAATATAGTCAAATTTTAAAAAAAATGAAAGTTCTGAGAAGTCTAGAAGTATCGTTAAAAAAATGAAAGTTCTGAGACGTCTAGAAGTATCGTTAAAAAAAATGAAAGTTCTGAGACGTCTAGAAGTATCGTTAAAAACAATTATTGATCACACCACGTACAACTCTATAAAGAAATAACTATGTTTAGGTGATTCGTAAGCTAATGCAAATATCGAGGGATATGCCGCTTGTAAAAGTTGTGAAGGAAAGAACAAAATTTACTAGAAATTTCTTTTATAATAAGATTATTTATTATATAACTGTTTGCAATCTATTAACCTATACTCGATGAAACATTTTAACTTTATTTGTGAAAAACTAATTTAAAGGATTTGAAATAAATAATGAATTTAATTGTACAGTTAACATAGGTAAACATTTTTTTGAACTTTATACTTTGACCTTCAGATTTGTTTTTCAACGGAAAGGGATTAATTAGATGGAAGCCCCCCCCCCCCCCCCCCGGTCTTTTAAGAATTGAACTTTGATTCTCAGAACACAGACCAAGATGTTAAAGGAACAAAACCAATTACAGCGCAATTTGAAAAATATCAGGTAAATAGAGAAGTTATACAGATATTGAGTTTTAATGTAACACATAAAGGATTTGAGTCTTTGCCACAAACTCTGATTTTCTAATCACTATATCGTTGGAACCAAATGTTGCAGACCTTAGATATTTCAAACTATGAATTCTGTTAGATCAAATAATCTGAGTTTGAAATATCAAAGGTTTACAACATCGAGTTCTAAAGATATTGAGGTTTATATAATTGATTTTGTTCCAAAGAACCAATTCTTTTATTCATCAAATGTTTAAAAAGCTTCGACTTGGCTTGGTTTGACCCCACCAACCCGTATAAACATATATGTATCCCTACTTTCCCTAGACATAAACATTTCAACATTGCATTGCGCTTTTAAAAAGAAATTGGCAAAATAATGTTTAATTTTTTTGAGTGCGACCGTGCATATCATGGTTTGCAGTGGAACATTATCAAACATATTCAAAATGTCCATCTATCAGTTTAAATATTAGTTTAAGTTCAAAATCTAATACTAAATAAAAAAAATTGTAATGACAATTTTTAGCTTCGTATGTTCTTTAATTATGTTATAAATAAAAACAGGGTAACAAATTTTTTCTTAATATCGAGTGACAAGTTAGAAATACCGAACATCTACAAGTCTTAGTCTTAGATGGTCACAGCTCAGTGTTGAAAAAATGTAGATTTTTTAATTTCTATAAAAATACATGCATGAAAACAAATTTTTTAAATCTAACAAAATGTTCCTAATTTCAAAAGGACTCCGATCATTGGATTTTTAGTTTGTAGATTGTAGTTTTTCATAACATTTAATTTTACGGAATCAGAAAAGATTTCGTAAATCTTGTCAAGAAAAATATTGAAACTCCTGTTTGATTATTAGGATAAAGTTGCAGTAATGCAGAAAGCCAAGCTGTTGAAAGGAACAGGGATACTGCTTAGTGAAGATTTTCCTAAACGAATTAAAGAAAAGAGATCACAGCTTCTCAAATTTGCAAAGGAGGTGAGCACAAGTTCAACGATATTTAAAATATTTTGTTTCTACATAATACATATCATATTGTTAATCTTATTCATTTTGTGTTCTGTACATATTTTCCTTTTTTTACTATTTCTGTATAGTATATATCACAAATTGCTCCAGAGCCTGAAACTAAAGACAGAGTATGGTAATGAAACCCAGTTTCATGAATGGAGTTTTGTAATTAACAATATTTTTGTTAAGAAATGCTATTTCATGTGGTTTCTTTTCATTATCTTTTTGTTTTCAATTTCCTCAATTAAAATCTACGCAAATGCACAAAGTGATAACATGAAAACCGTGGGATTGGAAGACAACATTAAAGCAATAATTACGCAAATTTGATACTTTTACAAAGCAAATAGTTTTACTATTGTATCTTATAAAATTCCTCATTAAATGAAATGGGTCTGTTTACACTTCACAATTGTTGTTCCTTATGATCATTGAACTATTTAAAGTTAGAATTTGAGTCTAAAAGTCGTCTTCCTATTCCAGAGTTTTCTGGTTCTCACTGTAGAATCAAAAATGGAAACTTCGGAGTTTCGTTTAATGATATTCTCCTAAATTTCCGGCTCTGTTGTCAAGAAATAGAACCAGTACTTAAAATTCAGATTATGTTTTTAACGTAAGTTTAAATTTATGTAAGGGTGTATGCCACACTTTAATATATCCTCATGAAAGTTAACTAATGTTGGATGTTTAATGTATTTTGCCAATTTTATATACAACAGACTTATATTAAGATCATCAGAGTCTAAAACTAAAGAATGCGCGAATTTTAAGTTCGAGGTTAAAAGTTCAGTAAAATAATGAATAGCTACTTAAATATTAAACTTTCTCAATTTTAAATTTGAATTTCCCGGGAAAATCTGAACCAATCAGAGAAAAGGATTTACTGAGAATATTACATAACCATCGCTAATCAGCTGATTACGTAACCGAAAACAAAACATATTTCGAGTTACAACCGTATTTTGGGTTTACATGCAAAAATATTTAACCTCACGGTTAAAGTTCAGGTTTAAATTAAGTCAGAAGTGGCATTTAACCATGAACTTAAAATTTAAGTCAAAACTTTTTGTTCTTTAGTTTTAGACTCTGGTCGAGCATTACATATACAACATTGTTTTAAAAAAGGTCTTAACAACCTTTTGCATTGATGTTTTCTTCCGGATTTAAAGTAAGTCTAAGTTATACAATAGACATTATTAATAGAATTTGGCACGTTCGTTACAATTCGTTTGTACATCGTTTGTTAACGATCCACGTTCGGTTTTTTTCATTCGTTCAGTAAACATTGGAATTCGTGAAGTTTCAAGTTCGTGAACGATTCCACGGTCTGACTGAAATAAAATGCCAATGATAATTGATCGTTATCATTCGTTATCATGATTGTTTTTCATTTCTCTGCATTCGTTTGTCTTTCCTTCATTTATGTTTCCAAAACGACACCTTCTTTTACACAAAAGTTCGTTCGTTTTGAAATATTTCGTTCGTTAACGAAAACGATGTCCACCTCTAAATATTCATTTAGGTGAAGAAAAGACGACCTGACACACGACTGTGCTTGCAGTACGATAAGCTGTACGTCAACAACACTGCGTACTTGTACAACGAGGAAACAGAAGAAATAGAAATGCTTCCAAATGACATAGAAACAGATTCACCGGTCAGTGAACATTTTTTTAAAGGGACTGTAAACGAAATTTCAAGTAACCTTCCAATTAAAAAAGAGGCATTTTCGATCCACAACGGTTTACCTCATAAAACTTGAAGAGTGAAGATTAAGAATGAATAAGATTTCAATGTTTTTAACTTTGAAAATTGATAAAAGTTTAAAGTGTGCCGCTGTGAATCATGGATCAAAGCAAGTTGTAACTTGCTTTCACAATTTGAAAATATACATTTTAACTTTTTTAAACTTTATTCTTGGCAAATGCATTTAAAATGTAAAATTAAACACATTATTGAACTAAATTAATTTCTTTAGATCCTGAGCACCATTTGTTTTTCGCGAACACTCCCTCTATATATTTATCGTAATTATTTATTATTGTTAAGAGTCCTGCCAAGAACCCGAACACAATAAAGAAAAAGATCAGTCCGTATGCTTCAAGTGTTAGCCAACGAAAATCTAAGATAACTAAATCCATATCCCAGGTTAGCCATTTATTTTAAGTTAATCAACCTATCAATCAACCCATTGATCAAATAAGCACAATAATTTGATCAATAAATGGATCAACAAGATTCAGTTAAACATTTGATTCATCAATATATCAATCAATGTATCAATCAGTTCAGTAATCGCTGAACAAGAATGCTTAGTAAAGCGATCAATTGATCACTAAAAGGATCAAACAATGATTTTTTCAAGGAATGAGATAGATAGATAGATACTAGATAGATATATACATATTAGATAGATAGATGTAGATGGATAGATGATATAGATGTATAGATTGATATAGATGGATAGATAGATATATATATAGATAGATAGATAGATAGATAGATAGATAGTTAGATAGAAAGAAAGATTTAGTCAAAGTAATTTTTCAATTGATCAAAAACTTGCGAACCATCCACATTGAACTAGAAACTTGTTTGCAGGATAAGAAAACGATATTTCCTAATGTTTAATTTCCTTGTTTGCAAGACAAGAACATGATATTTCCTTATGTTTAATTTCCTTGTTTGCAGGACAAGAACACGATATTTCCTAATGTTTAATTTCCTTGTTTGTAGGACTAGAACATGATATTTTCTAATGTTTAATTTCCTTGATTGCAGGACAAGAACATGATATTTCCTAATGTTGAATTTCCTTGTCTGCAGGACTAGAACATGATATTTCATAATGTTTAATTTCCTTGTTTGCAGGACTAGAACATGATATTTCCTAATGTTTAATTTCCTTGTTTGCAGGACTAGAACATGATATTTCCTAATGTTTAATTTCCTTATTTGCAGGACTAGAACATGATATTTCCTAATGTTTAATTTCCTTGTTTGCAGTACAAGAACATGATATTTCCTAATGTTTAATTTCCTTGTTTTCAGGACAAGAACATGATATTTCCTAATGTTTAATTTCCTTGTTTTGATTGCAGGACTAGAACATGATATTTCCTAATGTTTAATTTCCTTGTTTGCAGGACAAGAACATGATATTTCCTAATGTTTAATTTCCTTGAAAAGGGGATTTTACCTAGTTTTCAAACATTTAGGGGAGAAATAGTTTTGCGTGATTATAAACTATGTCAACTATACTGTCAAGGACAAACTAAACTCTATTTCTTGTAATCATTTAATTTTTACTGAAATAAGTTCTATCCATATTCATTCTAAGTGTTGAAATTGGGACCATTTGGCACATTTCCATAATGTTAACATCCATTCCTTACAGGAAGCACCTAAATTTTATTTTCATTTTCAAAATCTTTTAGTGCAACACGTGTTTGCAAAGATAAAATCGTTTAGGCCAGCTATATTTTTTACAATAAAAAAATTCATCTTGAAACACTTAGATTTCGCAAATTTACAAATTGGTTTGCCAAAAACAAATAGATTTATATTCCAAGACTTATCACTTTGTTATCATTTGACAGAATAATTCAATATTTTTATTGTGTTTTAAGGACGGTGATTTGTATCTTCTCTCCTCTCCTTCCAAACAATTTACCGGATTTCTAGGTATTTAAAGGAACTGTAAACGTAATATCACGTGACCCTTAATATAGAATAGCAGTTCCGATTAACAACGGTGCCTTAAAAAGCTTTGTATGATAAAGAATGAATAAGATATCTATGTAATTTTGACCTGAGTTGATTATTTTCTATTGTGGTAACAACATAAAAGTAATTTTTGAATTTCTTCATGTAGAAAATTGTCAGAATTATCACTTTTCAGTCTAAAAAAACTGCAATATTTTTACATTATCAATATGATAAAGTAAGAGAGGGTAACGTGGTAAATCGGTCCTTTATAGATGGAGGATCAATTAATTTTACAGAGACAGAGCATTTTAACGAACAAAGAAAGACTATTGTCACATAAGCATAAAAACATTTTCTCAAATGGTTTGGATCTGCCTGACCTTGTTTTTTTTATGGTGTTTAGACCAGTAAACCTGCAGTAAAACAGTGGGATATTAACTTCCCCTGGGGGCAAATCATGAAAGGGGGGGATTATAAACTGAAAGGAGTGATCTTAACTTTATTGACATTGGAAATTCAAAGTTTTTAGTAATTGAGACTCGGTTACTATCAAATTTTTTTGAGACAACTCACGGGACCCCAGGGAAGGTTAATGGATGATCAGAGATACAAACATTTGTCTCAAACATTTTTGATTTTTGTAATATTCAGGGGACATTAGTTCCAAAACTGAAACTTGGCCCATTTCTAACACATTAGTGTTAGAAATGGGCACAAATTGAAAGACTGGGTTTTAGGGATCCCGGGAGTAAAAGGTGATAACAATAACTATAAACCCTTTTTTTAAATAAAAATTATAATAGGAGTTCTTTTTATATTAAAGGTCTTGACCTACTTTCCCGTTTTGAAATATAATCCGCAATTCAAAACAAAACACACTTTCATAACTTACAAAATAAATCACTGAAAACAAAAATTATCTTATGAAGACTAAATTAACTTCTGAATTATTTCTAGAATCTAAGTTTCCACATTTTATCTTTTAAATTAGAGAATAAGGATAATTTTTTTTCAAGCATTTTAACCAAAGTTTCCCGCATTTCTAGTTGAATCTATTTTGTAAGAACAAATGCTATTAATATTTTTATTTGTCAATGCTCTCGTGGTTTTTAAATTATAAAAACAGTTTGTTTTTATTTTGTATTTTGTTCATATTTTACCTTATCAAAAGATCTTGTTTTGCTACGTAAGTACGTAAATGCTTTAAAATTGACATTGATATAAATTCCAGTAGATGTCTCTAACCAGAGCTGAAAACTTTAGAATGGTGGATATCGAGATTAATGCTTAATCCTTTCTATTTCTTAATCTCGAGACTTGTATCCTGAAAAGTGTATAAATTCAACCAATTAGAGTCGCGTATCAGAAGCCGGTAAATTTGAAATTTTGCGCGCTATTTAAGATTAATATACAGAAACGGGCAGGACTCTTAATTTAAAAAAACCCGGTTTTTTATTTTTTTTTGTACTATATCGTAAAAAAGAGTGGATTAAGCAAGAAATCAAAAGTGTCCACATTGGATATTTGGATTGAGCAGTCGGGATTAATGGTATCCCATTCTAAAGTTCCCAGCTCAGGATATGTTCCGAAAATCCGGTAATTGTTTCAAAATAGGGATATGTTCGAAAATGAAATCAAGAATCATCAAAAACTAATTCTCTTTTTAGTTTTAAATTGGCATTTATTGTTTTTATATATAGTCTTAGCCATTTTTTTTTTATAAATATATGGTGTAATTTTGTTCTACTCGTCTTGGTTTTAAAGATATTTACTCTTGAAAATATTAACTTTGCAGATTTGACCCATTTCTAAAACTCGGCGTTAGAAATGGGCCAAGTGTTAGTTTTGGAACTAATATCTCCTGAAATTTGTAAAATCCACGAAAAAAATCCGCAAACTTTTTTGTTATTGCTTTATATTGTAGAAAGAAGAGATGCTCACAGATAGAGCCACAATTAAGAGTTCTAATAGAAGATGAGCGCAAAACGCCCTAAAAGCTTAGTAATTTATAAACAACAGAGAAGTCTGGGAAGAAATTATCAACAGTGGAGCACTACACGGGAGAACCCCATGGCCACCTCATCGGAGACACCCAGACTTGTATTGGAGACCCCAAACATGTATGAGTTTCAAACCATAATCTTGGGGTCTTTGATGTAAATCTCGGGGACACCAATGATAATCTTGGGCTTATCCTATGAAAAGCATTGGGTCTCCGGTGAGAAGCTTGGGTCTCTGATTGATGATGATTTCTTCCCAGACTGAATATTTCGCAGATTTTCCCATTTTCTTCGGTGGATTTTCAAAAATAAATATCGTAAGTATTTTTAATTTTGATGATTTTACTTTAAGGAGATGAAGGACTTTTAGAGGATGATTCAGATTCCTTGAACAGTTTGGAGGGAGTTCTGGGGATCACTACAAGTTAAATTATCGATTTTCATGATTTTTTTTTAATGGGAAATGAAAATAAGAAACACAGAAGTTTTAAAAGACTTCTTGATAGATTACATTACCTATCCAAAAAATAAATTTTCCAGTGTCCTGGTAGACAGCACGTACTTGTGAAATAAGTGAACAGTATGTAGTAAAACAAACAAAAAATTTATGTGTAACTGAAAATTTGATTTCTTTTCCTTAAATAATATATGTATCAATCAAATAAAAGCTACAATTATTTTCGTTTACATTCTTTTCTATAGTTATAATGAAATTATGATGTTAGGTACCTTCCCAAAGGCAACTTCTCAAGTCTGTTCTATCCTGCAGAGCTCGGCCCCCTAGCAACAGGCGCTACGTGACCCCATTGCAGCCTGTCACGCCCTGCTGGAGTACATTGGAATATCCGAGCTAAAACAACCTTTGCAGACCTAATTTGGCCGTACCTACATCTCCAGTGGAGTGTACTGTGGCACCTCGAAATTGGCATAATCTAACCTTTGGGGAATTGTCACTCGGGAAGTTGGAAAAAGGCCTTTTGGAAATTCGAGTTGAAATTTCTCGATTCAGAATTTCAGGGCTAAGAGGCGATGGGAAGGATGCATTTTTTGTTCTGTTGTTTATTAAAAGAATCTTTACTGGGGCAAAAAATGTTAATTTTTTTTATTAACAATGTGGGCGGAAAAGTTCATTTTAAATTGTCTATTTAAAGATAATTCAATTGTATTAAATTGTTAAACAATTTTTTATATTTAGTCATGGTTGATAACAACTTAAAAAGCCCATATATTTAACGATACGTTAAGCCGACAAACCGATTGAATAGAATTGATAGGTTTCAGAGGTTTCACTTTTGAGAAAAAAATGATGTTCTACATTCATAGGTTTAACGGATATCTTGATACTACATTTATAAATGTGTAAAAATGTCCTAATCATCTCGAGTTTTCTTCTGGCTACAATGGTCAAAATATGTAAAAATCTTGACTATCAACTATGCTTTAATTGATCTGACTATATTCAGGGCAAATATTTGGGTAAATCTTATAATTTGGTTGGTAGGAAGATACACAGCTAGAATGTAAAGACTAATTTCAAGGGACCTTCCATGCAAACATGACAATTCCCGATTAACAATGGTACCCTTGCAACCTTTATCTGTTAAACAATGTGCAAGATACGGTCATTTTTCTATGTTTAAAAGTTGTTTGTTCTGATAAGTCCTACCATGGCTATTGGATATTTATTGAGTCCGGTTGCAGCGGAAAATAATATTTTTTGACACTGTCATTTGTTACGATTTAATTTATTTGCATCCATTTTCTGCAGAATTAAATTATTTAATTGATATGAATACAAATTAAAATCCAGAAATAAATGAAATCAAAATGAAAATTAGCTTTCAAAATGTTTTACAACTTAAAAATCTGACTTTGCTCGTTTTTAATAAATCATTCATTCATTATCTGTTTCTTCTTTTACTGTTTCTAGTGGAAACGTCATTGTATCATAACATGACAGTTCGATCCCCTTCTCCTCCTGCTCCATCTCCTCTTCCTCCTCATCCTTCTGCTTCTCTTCCTCTTCTTCCTCCTGCTCCTGCACCTCAGCATTCTCCTTCTCCTCCTGTTCCTGCACTTCTTCATTCTCCTCCTCTTTTATAAACAACATGTCTGCCAAATCCACTTCTTTGTGTTTGCTTTTATAATGTCTCTTTAGATGATATGGTTTATTACCAGCATAATCACACTTACTGCAGGGATACGTAATTCCTTCATGTTTGGTTTTAATATGCTGTCTCAGATTTACCTCTTTGTTCGCAACATATTCACACTGGTCACAAGGGTGGCGAACTCCTTCGTGTTGACTTTCTACATGCGTCTTCAGGTCTTTTACTAGGGTTGCAACGTATTCACATTGTTCACAAGGGTAAGTTCCTATTACATGAAAAGTCTCAACATGCGTTTTCAAATAGGCTAATGTTGTTGATGTAAATTTACATTCGCAGCAAGGATATCGCACCCCTTTATGTTTGCTATCAACATGTGTTCTCAAATTCCCTGCCTGAGTAGCAACATACTTACATTCATTGCATGAAAATCTTATGCCTTCATGCCTACTTTCATTGTGTGCCTTTAGCGTCGCTTTTTGAGTTGCAACATACTCGCATTTACTGCAGGGAAAGCTTGCTGCTTCATGTCTACTCTCAATATGTCTTTTCAAACTGCTAATTGCGGTTGCAGCATAATCACATTCACTGCAGGGAAATCTAACTTCTTTATGCTTATTATCAATGTGCTTTTTTAGAGTACGTTTAGTGTTTGCGGAATATTCACACTCAGTGCAAGAATATCGGACACCTAAATGCTGCCACTTTATGTGTTGCTTCAGATTAAATGATCTTGTTGCTGAATAATCACATTTATCACAGTAAAGTCTTTTACCTTCCCGTTTCTTTAACCTTAGTCTCTTTGGTTTAGATTGCACAGGGTCATCATCATCATCATGCAAAATAACTTCACCTAAAAATTATTATTTTATCTGCATGTCTTTCAGTTTCTTCTTTGTACATTTAAAGGTACTGTAGGAGTTTTTCTAGATTTAAAGTGTCTAATTCTGATAGTTTTTATGTTTCCTGCAGAAACTAAAATTAAAAATAATCGGTTTGAAAACTTTTGAACATTGATATCTCATTCATATATTATCAGACAAAGCGTTTAAGGGTTTGCTTGTGAATCTGGCATTGCGCCATCTTTGCATGGAGGGTCACAGTTCCTTTAATATAATATCATTCAAGAGTTTGAAATATTTTCCTGCTTTCATCAGTGTATTTAAATTTAAAAATTTGAAATTAAAATATAAACATTTGAATGAACAATTTGTGTAATCCTGGCCGTTCATTAACATTCTTGCGGTTGTTACTTTACCTGAGGTCGAATTTATTAATAACGAAAATTAGATTTACTAGGTAAAGATAGTTCAACTACATCTCTAGTTCGGGCTATATCTAGTTCTAATTTTCGAAATTACAAAATTCCAAACTCAGTAAATATGTTTTCCATGTAATAAAGAAAATAATAATTTAGATTTAGTAGATTTTTCTATTTTTAATAGTGGATGTCAAGCCTATTTTTTAATGCTTGCTCGATGAGAGAGAGTGTGCAGATTCACCATTAACCCGGCATTCAAAAATCTGAACCAGGACTTGAATGTCATTCGAACCCCAAATTCGGGTCTCTCTTTCAATCCCATTCAGTGACTTAATACTTGAGAATAATGTTTTAATATAAATTGTTTAAACTATCGGTTGCACTTTATGATTTTAAATCATAATTCATAATTTTAGGCAAATAAAAAATTAAAATCACTATATTTAAGTCAGAATGCGGGCTTCGGATGTTGAAATTCAGGTTTAATGGCGACTCTTTTCAAACTTAAAATTACCTTTCACTTCATAATCTTCCAATTTGACTTGTAGTTCTGGTTCATAAGGTTCAAACGATTCTGGTACAAAGGCTGTACATGGATCCGGTACAAAGGTTGCACGTATATCTGGTACAAAGGCTGTACATGACTTCTCGGGAGTAATTTGTACAGTTAGTTCTTTGTTAGAAAACTCATCTTCTTCTTTAATATTCTCTTCTTTTATAAACTCAGCCATTTTCTCTAAAATACATAATATATCTAAAATCAATCAAATAGTTTTGTAATGAAGTAAAGATTAGAAATAACTATTAACTTAATTGTCCCTAGGCCATCGAGGGTGCCTAAAGGGACAGAAAAGGAAAACTGAAAGGGGGTATAGGCTGAAAGCTAATCACTTTAGCTCTTGATCGCGACCCGTGAAAGTTATATCTGATGTTCTTGTCTCGAGAAATTGATATAAAACAGCGTTAAATTATACGAAAATTCATGGGTTTCTCTGGGATATCTTCGTTTTCAGAGTGAAAGCGTATTTTCTGAATATGATCTGTTCAAACCTACCATTTCAATACAAAATTGTATATATGTATATATATGAATTTTCGAAAATATTTGTCACAATTTTATATCAATTTCTCAAGACAGGAACATCAGATATAACTATCATGGGTCGCGATCAAGAGGTAAAACGATTAGCTTTCAGCCTATACCCCCTTCATTTTCCCTTTATAGTCCCATTAAACTTCTCTCTTTCTCTCTATCATCATCTTTCTCTTTCTAACATAACTTTATTTTTTTTGAGTGGAAAATATTAAGAAAATAGGGCATCAGCAGAAAATAGGGTGGAAAAGGTGTTATAAAATGAACTGTGAACAGAATGCTAATGTAAATGGAAAGAGAATAGGATAAGAATATTCCTCTTTAAACATTACATAAGTGAGACTTATTCATTCATAATTAATAATTCAATTAAAATGCATCATTTCACTTTCATTAATCCTTTAATGTCAGAAAGAGAATCAAAGAGACTGTAAGCATAATTTCAAGTGACCCTTCATGCTGAGATGGCAATATTCGATTCACAACAGTATAAAGTATTAAGTATGAATTATATGTGAAGGTTTATAATGTTAAAAACTGTTTAATTATGTGGTTTGTCTCCTACAGGAAAACATAGCAATTACTAGAAATCAGAATTAACAATGTTCAACCTAATATACGACAATATCTTCCACATTATTAAACAGGTAAAGATTTCGAGGGTACCGTTGTGAATCGGGCATTATCCTATGCAGGAGTGATCCCTTGAAATAACGCTTACAGCCCTATAAGAATTTATTTTAGTTAACCGATGGTTAAGGTTAATTTCTTTTGAAAAAAAAAACACCAATTAAATCTGCTCTCTGTCAACGAGAAATTGCAAAAAATAGGAATCAGCTGTTACTTCTAGATTAAGGACTTAATAGCTTCATAATAAGACTCTGCTCTGGATATTGAGTACTCATACAACAGTTCTAACCTCAAGACTAGTTTAGAGATTTGTCTTAGGCAGTTATATTTGTTGTTCAATTAAATATATTTATAAATTAATCTGATAAATGTATATATATAAAGTATAAAAATGCTTCAAAGGGTTTTATTATTGCTTCTTAGACTTGACTAGCCTCGCCAAACTTGCAACCTAAAAAATAATAAATAAATCATATTTCAAACAATTATTAACAATATTTTAAATAATCGATTCAAAAGTTCAACCCAATAGTAGAACAAATACTTTTTTTTGTTAATTTGAAAGTAAGTTTATTTCTTCAAAAATTATTTCAAAAAGGGGATTAAGCTAAAGACTAAAAATCAAGTAACACTGCAATTTATGAGTGGCCTGTCCGATTCTCTCAGTACAGAACCCTATAAACCTCTATTTTGAATAACAAAGATGCAAAATTTTCCATTTCTCAAAATTTCTATCATCGTTTTCGTCAAAAAAATTAGTTGCGGATTTTTTTTATATGGAATAATTGTCAGAATTGAACACTTTTTAAGAATATCACATTCATTCTTGATCTGGGAAAGGATTTGAGAGTACCATTGTGAATCGGACATGAGTAAGTATTTTTAATTTTGATGNTCCTTCTCTAGTTGAGATTTCAATGCTGATATTTGTCCAGCAAACTCAGCAGATATACTCTCTAGTCTACGCTCTAGCTCAACAACCTTTAACAATAATATATTCAACATATCTGATCAGCTAACTTAAAAGATATACTCTCTAGTCTACGCTCTAGCTCAACAACCTTTAACAATAATATATTCAACATATCTGATCAGCTAACTTAGCAGATATACTCTCCAGTCTACGCTCTAGCTCAACAAACTTCAACAATACTATATTCAACATATTTGATCAGCTAACTTAGCGGATATACTCTCTAGTCTACGCCCTAGCTCAACAACCTTTAACAATACTATAATCAACATATTTGATCAGCTAACTTAGCAATATACTCTCCAGTCTACGCTCTAGCTCAACAACCATTAACAATAATATATTCAACATATTTGATCAGCTAACTTAGCAGATATACTCTCTAGTCTACGCTCTAGCTCAACAACCTTTAACAATAATAGATTCAACATAACTCAGGGGTGTATAAGATAAGATAAGATTATGATAAGAGAGGATCTGAAGACCCCCCCATTATATATTTTACAGAAAAAATGTCTTGCTAATTTTTTGTTGTTGCTGAATTTAAGTCCTAGGAAAAAATCCAAGATTTTTTTGGGCCAAGAAAAAATTGGATTTTAACAGTTTTATTAGCTCATCTAATATATAAATTATAATTTCTTTACCGTTCAATTTTCAATTTTTCTGGCCCATTTAATAAAATTTACGGGTGTTAAGATCCCTGCATAAAGTTTTTTCAGAAAATAGATCATTTTTTAGAGGACATTAGCGATTACTTCGACAAAATCATTATAAAAAAAATTAAGATGTAAATCTTGAAATAATAATTTCTGATTTTTACTCCCCCCCTCCCCCCACCACCACCACCATACAAAAAATCCACAACACAGAAAAACTACAATTTAGAAGAATATTTAAAATGACAAGAAGTAATTTAAAAGATGATATTTGAATTCTGCTTTATAGAAAACCAATATATAACATCTGAATGAAACCCTCCAAAAATAGGCTTACTTTATTTTGATACTGCTGGGTGTTAGCACTGGGTTCAGGTTTGCCAGTCTCCGGTCTAATCCTGGTTTCCGACCAGACCGACCTTGTGGAGCTCTCCATCCTCGTATCCTCGGGTTCAGACCTCTCTCCAGGTTCAGGTTTCAGGATATGATTACTCCAACCTATACTTCTATCCTGCTCAGACTTGGAACTAGTCTCCGGGTCCTCTTGCTTAGTGTCGAGGGTTCGAGAAAGGTTGTCGATTCTCCGTGCTAGGCCACCCTTAGGAGAGCTGAAGTCGGCTGGGCGCTCCGGAACAGCAGCGAAGCTTCGAGCCTCTGGTCGACCAAGATTGGTCGAATGTACTGAAGGTTTGGAAGACTCGAAGCCTTTGGTAGTGTCGGAATGTTTTCGAGAAACATCGGGTTGCTTATTTCCGGACTCTGATTGTTTTGGGTTGAGATCTTGAACCTTTTTAGAAGGCTCAGACTGTTTGTTATTGCCGAATCGACCGGCCTCAGATAACCGGTTTGTAAACTCCGCAAGTTTACGAGCCGCCTCGGATTTCTCCTGCTCTTGTTCAGAGCTGGTCAGCTCCTTTTTAGTTTCAGAACTCTTCCGGCCGGCCGATCGTTTCTCGGTGGATTTGGTCTGACGGTCCGTTGAATGATCGGACTCTGGCCGATCTGGAAGGGTTGAGCTGCTTGCTGCTTTAGGCATAGAAGGTGGGAAGGCAGGACGAACAGGTTTATCCTTGGTTTCAGAACTAAAATAATAATGTTATTGTAACAGTCATATTTTTTATTAGTAAGAATAATTATAATAAATGGGTATTAGTGGGACTGGGGTCTCATTGAATAAAATGGATTGTTCAGCTATGAAAATGCACAAAATATTCAAAATATTGGGATTAGGAATGTACTTTGCCAAACTTTGTCAGGTTTCCAAAAACTATTACAATAAAAGACTTGAATGAGGAAATTTTATTTATTCGGGTCTAATTTGTAGAATTTGAGTCTCTAGGTCAGAAACCCTTGTTTCAGCTGAAGTACACATTTCCGTGTACTGTTCAGCACTGATTTAAGGATTCATCTCTAATTGGAGGATGAGATAGATAGATAAATAGATGTTACCGCAGTTGAATTTATTTTGGTTCTAAATCGTCACCAAGCACGTGACTGAACCCTGATTGGATCTGACGCTACAGGAAAGATAAAACAAGGATGCCAGTCTAACGTTTTAATATTTAATCGTTTTTGAAAATTCATCATTAATAAGTCGTAATTCTAAATCTAACACACGTAAACAAGATTCATCAAGTTAGCAATGTTTATTGTAGAACACTTTAAAACCTACAACTACTCGATGATATATTTGTACAGCACACTGTGTAGCGTATACTGTACAGTGTATATTATACATACAATGATCAGTACATGCATGGTTGTCAAGTACATACATGATGGATTAAGTCTGTACCTGTTATCTGAAGCAGTGTCTTTATCTGTAAAGCTACCGGGTCTCCTTATAAAGCTTCCCAAGGATTTTCTGAAAACAATAAATAAAAAAAATTGTATTGGAATTTTAGTACCCAGTGTTATATATTTAATTAAGAAGTGACCCCCCCCCCCGTCATCCTCCTCCTCCTCCAATTTAGCAAGTAACGTTAGTGCGGAGCTAAAAAAAAAACACCTTTCACGTAGTGTAGACTGCAAGGGAAAAATTATTTAAAGGAACTGTCTATGTAATTTCAAGTGAATTTCCTTAAATTTTTTTTCAAAAAAAAACATGCCCGATTCACAAGGGTATTTAAACCTTCTTCATGTATAAGATTTGGCTGTTTAAAAGCTTGGAAAGTGTTTAAATCTGACAATTAGCTCCATTGTTTGTTTAAACAGAAATACGCAAATAAATATTTTTGAGAAACCAATTAAGACTTCTAAAATTTCAAATCGAAAAACATGAAAAGCTTCTTATTATTTTCTACTATAGCCGTTGTAAATGGTACATGCCACTCTAGGAAAAGGAGGATCACTTAACCTTACGCTTTTAGTCCCTTTATTAGGGGAAACACATATCCTAACGTAAAATGATAACAGATTTTTCATTTCACCCTAAATCTTTGAAAATCTTTCTACCTTCAGGACCTAAAGGAGGGGGNATCACTAGGTTTAGTTGGTAGAATAGGTTTAATCTCAGGACTAGGTAAATATATAACTATATAGTTACCTTGTATCACTAGGTTTAGTTGGTAGAATAGGTTTAATCTCAGGACTAGGTAAATATATAACTATATAGTTACCTTGTATCACTAGGTTTAGTTGGTAGAATAGGTTTAATCTCAGGACTAGGTAAATATATAACTATATAGTTACCTTGTATCACTAGGTTTAGTTGGTAGAATAGGTTTAATCTCAGGACTAGGTAAATCTGGTTTCTTATCCTCGGTAAATATTCCGCTTTTCCTTAAAAGTTAAAAAATAAAAGTTTTAGTTCAGAACTTCAAATATGTTTATAATTCATTGTTAAAAATAGAAATAATAATATGAAAAAGAAATCGAAAAAATGAAAAGAAACCAATATAAATAATAAAAAGAAAGAAATCGAAAAAATGAAAAGAAACCAATATAAATAAAAAGAAAGAAATAGAAAAAATGTAAAGAAAGAACTAGAAATAATGAACAGAAAGAAATCGGAAAAAAGAAACCAATATAAATAATAGAAGAAAGAAATCAGAAAAAAGTAAAGAAAAAATCGAAAAAAAAAATAAAAAAAATAAATAGAAATATTAAAAAGAAAGAAATAGAAACAATGAGCAGAAAAAAAAGAATGAAAAACAAGAAATAGTAATAATAAACAAGAAAAAGAAATAATGAGCAAAAAGAAATAGAAATGATGAACAGAAAAGAAATAGAAATGATGAACAGAAAAAAAATAAAAATAATGAAAAGAAAGAAATATAAATAATGAACAGAAAGAAATAGAAATAATGAAAAGAAAGAAATAGAAATAATGAACAGAAAGAAATAGAAATAATAAACAGAAAGAAATAGAAATAATGAACAGAAAGAAATAGAAATAATGAACAAAAAGAAATAGAAATAATGAACAGAAAGATATAGAAATAAAAGCAAACAGAAAGAAATAGAAATAAGAAAAAGAAAGATATAGAATTAAGGAAAAGACAAAATAGAAAAAATTAGTAAGTTCAACAACTTTAATTCGCTATTCATTTAATCCGATCTTTGATCTTAGACAGTAAAATAGTTTCATTAATTTTTATTAATTTTAATGTATCAGGTTTTATATCTTAACAAACAACCAAAAAGTCCAAAACGTAATGACAGATTTCTTCTTTGGTACCAAAATTGGATATTTGTTGTAGTAATTTTCATCCTATAAGGACTGAATGCGCGCAACAAACTGTAATTGTCTAATCCCCATATCATTGTTTTAACATTAGATATTTTCAACTTTGGGAATTGACATTGAAGAACTAATAGTTTGAAATGTCAAATATATTGGGTAAAAGGGACTGTAAGCTTAATTTCAATGATCTTTCATTTAAAGAGGATAGTCCCCGATTCACAACAGTACCTTTTAAACCTTAAACTAATCAAGGATGACAGACTTTTCCTTATTTAACTGGAGAAATGTTTGTGATTGTTGAATACTTAGTTTTGTAAGCTGTTTTATATTTAAGGAATATTAAAATTTAGGTTCTAGAAGTGGCAGAATAAAAATATTCACATTAGAATTTTTGGACAAAGAATTTTTAAATTTTCCAGGAATAAATGTGACGGCATTCATTCGTGATAAGTTCACAGAGTACGCTTGCGTACACGCCGATTTTATGACTAAACATTTAAACGATATATTACTTAGAGATCTCTGTCCTCGAAGATCAGTAAAATATTTAAAGAGTACCATTGTGAATCCGGGATGTAACTTTTTAAATGGAAGGTTACTAGAAATTTTAATTAAGCTTACAGTTTCTTTAATAGGGGGATTGAAAAATTTTGAATTTAATTTGTCCCTTCCAGTTACTTTCGATTACAGTCTATTACAGTTCTAGTATATTAACTACCTGTTGGCTTGTTTTCTACTGAGTTCCTCTAGCCAGGACGGTTTAGATCCAGTATCTCTAGTATCCTCCCTACCCTGGAGAACTGGAACTCCAACTTTTTCTAAATATAAGATTGTTTAACACACATTTTAAACCTGCCAAAGATTGAGTTAATTTGAGATGGAAACTTATAAAAATCAACGAATTTAGAAATTTTGACAGATTTTAAAATATCGTCATTGTCTATGCCTAAGATCTTAATTTCTCTATAGATCCAAACTTTTGAATAAAATGGTACTCGACTGAACTTAAACTTGAGACCTAAAAACTCATATTGGCCGTACAGGGTAGAATTTATACAGAAAATGGTACTCGACTTCATTATACTTGAGACCTTAAAAACTCATATTGGCCGTACAGGGTAGAATTTATACAGAAAATGGTACTCGACTGAACTTAAACTTGAGACCTTAAAAACTCATATTGGCCGTACAGGGTAGAATTTATACAGAAAATGATTTCCGATTCTTAAGAAAAAAATTTAATTAAAAGTTTTTTCCTCAACTTTGTTGTGCTTTTTACCCATTTTTTGCTTTCCCCGAAATATCATTTATTTTCCAAAATTCATCGAAATACACCCTTACCATTTTTCATGTTCCACTTTATATTTGGAATAATTTTACTTTAAATGCTTTCACAAAGCTTTGAAAATTCTTTAATTTTTCTAATTGACACCCCTGGATCGATTTGACGTGCAAATACGAAGAACAAAGACAAAGTAGCCCCTGGCCCCTAAATAAATTTAGAAGGCTATTTATGAATTTAAGATTTGTCTAAACATTTCGCCAAAAATGAAGAACAAAATTTGGCGTGAAAAATGCGAAGAAGGGAAATTCATTCTCACCAGCTTTATCTCTAAGTTTAACACTTGCAGTTGTATCTTCATTCTCTTCAGTAACCTCCTAATATAATATAGTTACTTGTTTTCCTTCCGTATATATATCATACAGAGTTACTTGTTTTCCTTAGTATATATTATACAGAGTTATTTGTTTTCCTTCAGTATATATATTATACAGAGTTATTTGTTATCCCTCAGTATATTATTATGCAGAGTTATTTGTTTTCCCTCAGTTTATACATTATACAGAGTTATTTGTTTTCCCTCAGCATATATATTATACAGAGTTGCCCACAGAGAATAAGACTTCAGAGATGACTATTCCAATTTAAGCTTAAAAACGTCATACTTCAGGCAGGCTCTCTGTTGTTCCAGTCGGATCGCTTCACGTACGAGGGTGCTAGAGCGTAGTGAAACCCTTTCGTCGCAGGGTGCAATTTAAACTGCCCTTCAGGAGAGTTTAAGATCGTCTTTACAGTCTCATCCCTTGTGGGTAACCCTGTATATGTCTCTCTGTGTTTACTGTTTATACTTGAAAGAGTGTAATTATTTTATTTTAAAGTAACGGGAGTTTGAGAAATCTACCATTTCTTAAACATATAAGATTTTATTTGATTTGCTTATGCATAATAAAATGTTAACTCTGAAACAATATATTGGTCTCACAGATGTGCCAACGTGTAACGAACATTCATCCAGTACAGTATTATTATATATAGTCCAGTAGTTCATAAGTTTAGTAGTCCAGTTGTCCAAACGTCTAGGAGTAAAAAAAAGTCCAGTAGTCCAATAGTTCAGTAGTTCAAAGTCTAGTTGTCCAATAGTCCAATAGTCCAGTAGTCCAGTAGTTCAAAAGCCCTACCTTCGGCCTAATTTCATCCTCTGAGTCTACCATTAGCTCCTCTAGACCAGGGATCTAAATAAGGGTCAAATCAGACTTTTATGGATTTCATTCTCCAAAATTTAAATTCTATTTTAAGCAACCTTTCTATTTATAAATTTCAAAATATTACCAACACTGAGGTTAATCAAATTGATGGAAAAAATTGTAACAGTACTTGAAAATAATTTAAAATTTTCATAAAATAATTCGTTTACTTAAAAACTTTACATTAAAATAGAAAAATTTAACGTAAAAAAGTGCTTAAGATTCGCAACATTTTGCCTTTCTGGATACAAATCCGGATCATAACCAAAATATTGACCAAAACCTGTTAGTTCTTTACTAAGTACAATTTTACTGAGTACACTAAAACAGACAAAATCTGAATTATAAAAAAAACAATATCCTTTGCAGACATTTATAATTATGAACAATAACGTATAATTAATGATTTCAGGTTTTAAACCACAAAAGATAAATACGTAGTTTTTTCAGAGATAAAAAATGTGTTCGTAATTGTGTAAACATTAAAAATTGTCAAAAATTTGTTTTCTTCAATTGCATGAATTACAAATAAGGCCCCAGAAGAAATATAAACTTTAACCAAAAATGTACAAAAATAATGGGATTGAAACGCCCAAAAAAATCTAAATCCTTACGTTCTCCTTGAGGAATATAGAGGATGGAGGCCGTCGTTTAGGAGCTTTTACTCGAGTCGAAGTTACACTATGGAGTTTACTAGCTTCAGGTACTCCAGGCTTCCACATACAATCAGTTTCAGAGCTTTCAACATCATCTACAATAGCATTAATGTTATATTAATACTACTATTTATACCCCAACTGCTGGCTTCATGGATCCAAGGGCAAAAATCAACACAAACTCAACAAACAAATCTTTTGGTCTCAAAACTTAAATCTGAACTGTTAAAAAAGAGAGATTATCTTAAATGTCCTTATCTCTGAATGGTTCATCAATAGTTGCATAAAAATAAGTAAAAAAATACATGAATAAATGGAAAATTCTTTTTCTATTCAGAAAATCAGTGATTCAGTATAATAAATGTTTATGATCTGGCTGCTGATCCTTTTTTTCCAGTGCCGCACAAAATTAAATGGATCCTAAGCAACGCATTACACTTATCATACCCTTAATAATTCCTACCATCACTCCTCACTTATACCATTCATAACACCACTCATCCCACTTATACAACTCATAACACTTCTTCTGCTAACATTTCACGTCAAATACGCTTCAGATAATTCACCACCATCTGTCATCTGCATACAATAGCGTTCATGTCACCAAGAAATAACCATATCACTTTATCACTTTGACATTCATACTATTTATAATACCACTTATACTATTCATTCATAACAACACTTTTTTAATTGATAACACCACTTAAACCAATCATAACAATCTACAGTCTACACTGACAATTTTTAAAATAACTAATATGACCGGGCCAAGTTAGAATTATCGCCAAGCCTTGGCTTTTGGAACTTCGCGTCCCTTTTCTAAAATAATAAATTTCTACATTTCTTCTGGGAAAAATTTGTTAACTTTGACCAGCCATGAACCTTGCCACAATTTGTTTTTGGCCCGATCCGTTCATTTAGTCGTTTTGACGTTTACTGAACACAAACAGACAAACAGATTAATAGACACAAGTACAGATAGAAGTAATTGACATAATCCTTATAAAGTTCCATGATAGTTTGTGAAAATTCTACTTACAAGTGACCAGAAGACCATCAAATAACAAATGACTCACATTTTATCAGGACATACGACCGTTCAATTAATTATCACATAACACAGCGTAATATTATTGCTTACCTTTAACCTCCATAACCTGGATAGACTCAGCTTCAGCTGAGGTTCCCTTGTCACTGGGCACAGGTTTGACCGGAGCCGGAGATTTTGTCCTGACAGGACTATGGTTGGCAGGACCGGTAAGTGGTTGGACTGGACTAGAACTTGAACCTCCGGTCCCGTTCTTGACCACCGTCTTTTTATCGCTAAGGTTGGAATTGCTCTTCTTGAAAATATCACTCCCTTTCTTGGAAAGTTTTTCGTTGAACACGGGTTTCAAGGATTCTATTTCTCCGGGTGCTGGTTTAAGCTGGGAGGAGGATCTCCTGAGCTGAGAACTAGATCCTAGTCCTGAAACAAATACAAGAGTGTAGTTTCTAAAGAAGGGAGCGCCGAGCTGAGTATAATTTCTAGGATGAATAAAACAAGGAGTGCTCAGTTCAAACTATTTTTCCGGTTTATACATTCATTTATTTTTCATTTTTGCTCATTCAATATCCATCCTTTCTTCATTAATTCATTCATTGATTCAAACATCCTTTTATGCATTCATAAATTTATTTGATCATTCATTTTATCTTTTTGCAATCTCGAATTTATTCATCCTTTCAACTATCCCCTCATTCTTTCATCCATTCTTCATTCAAGCATTCATTCCTTTATTCCATCCCTTTATGCTTTTCCACTCTCAATTCATTTACTATGATTTAAACTTTTTTGAAATGATTAATATCAAAATGTCAATACTATTTATGGTCTAATTAAAAATATCAAGAATGTTTCCAACAAATATTACGCATTCAAGGATATTAACCAAAACGTACTGCAGAAAATTATAAATTATTCAGTATATCTTACATTGCAGCCTGTCTCAGAGATATTTTGAATGATATTTCGTGATAACCAAATCTTTGTGAATAATTAAACAATATTGACCATTTATATTACGAGATAAAATTGAACAATCGAAAAAAAGGAAATGCCTTAATACTTAATATAAAGGGTGGGGCAGATTTGTTAGAGTGTAAATAGATTGCATAATAATAATTTGAAAACTACAGTAATAATGTAATAATAAATACAAGTAATAGCATCATATTGACGTGTGAAAAGGGATATTATTAATTGAATGATGAAGAAATGAATGAATGAGATGGATAAATATATACTGAATGAATATTAAAGAACTAACTAGATGAATGTATATATGAACTAAATGAATTTTAAAGAACTAACTAGATGAATGTATGTATATATAAACTATATGAATATTAAAGAACTAACTAGATTAATGTATATATGAACTGAATGAATACTAAAGAACTAACTAGATGAATGTATATATAAACTAAATGAATTTTAAAGAACTCACTAGATGAATGTATATATTAACTAAATGAATATTAAAGAACTAACTAGGTGAATGTATAATGTATATATAAACTGAATGAATATTAAAGAACTCACTAGATGAATGTATATATAAACTAAATGAATATTAAAGAATTACCTAGATGAATGTATGTATATATAAACTATACGAATATTAAAGAACTAACTAGGTGAATGTATATATAAACTGAATGAATATTAAAGAACTCACTAGATGAATGTATATATTAACTAAATGAATATTAAAGAACTAACTAGGTGAATGTATAGATAAACTGAATGAATATTAAAGAACTAACTAGATGAATGTATATATAAACTAAATGAATATTAAAGAACTAACTAGATGAATGTAT